GCACCCTTGCAGTACCACTGGCTGATATAATTTGGCCCAAATATTTGATGTTTGGGGATTGGTTGATAGCGGTACCATTTATTGAAATGTTGAGTTCTCTAGGTCTCTTCGAGAAATGGATAACGTTAACTTTTTCCATGTTGAAGCTCAGAGATAGTTTGGAACATTCGCTATAAAGTTTTATGATGCTTTCTACCAGTAAGTTTCTTGCTTTTTCAAAATTTTTGTCATGACACACCAGGCTCTACAATTACATGCAGCGAGGCTGTGTAAATGTTGAAGAGTATCGGACTGAGCCCATTACCTTGCGGTAGCCTCTTTTGCACCGTCCTGACACTGTTTCCTATTTCGATTTGTCTATTTGACATGCTGACGACAATCCATTTGATGATGTGTGTCTTAAAACAGTTTTGGAATAAAATAAGAGCCAACATCTATGCATGCTGCAACCACATATTTCCCATTGTTTATGGAAATTAATAGCATTTATAACATCGTTAATACAGGTGGTTGTTGATCTTCCCGGTTTGAAGGCATATGATCTTGCTGGTATTGTTGCATTTTCTTCAGCAAAACTTAGGATTTGCTCTTTGATTGCACTTTCTAGAATTTTTTGGGCAGTGCAAATTAGTGCGATAGGCCTGTAATTCTCCACCAAACTGAGGTCTTATCCCTTTTTTGGGATATGGAAGATCCTAATCCTTCTCCATGCTTCCGGAAACTCACCCTTATTCCAAATCTCCAAATTTCTGTTTTTCGTTTTGGTTCAGTGAATTTATCATCTGATATGTGATTCTGTCGGGACCAGCAGCTGAGGTGGAGCTTCTTGATGCTAAGAATTGCTCGAATGTAAATGATTGTTCACTGATGATTTTTCCGAAAGAGGGTGGTTGCTCCGAAGAGTTAGGTGCAGTAGATTGCACTATGAAATCTAGATATTTTTCTTTTTGACTGTTGTCCCATGCATTATTTATGGGCTTTCTTTTTTTCTTGAGCTTGGACCCCATTTCCTTACTGGAACAAGGATTGGTGAGTTTGCTTAGTAATTTCCTGATGTTTTTGCGTTTTTTCTTCTCGATCTTCCTATAAAGCTTTCTCTCCACTTCTCCTAACTTTAAAACATGCGTCCACAGTCTGGCTTCTTCATATAATCTTCTGGCAGCTGTGCGTTCGTCATATAACGCTTTGATTTCATCATCCCACCATGGTTTGGGAACAAATCAATTTTTTGGGTCAAGAGAGATAGTACAATTTTTGACGAATTATTTATATTTTCGTAGAAGTCCGATAAATTCTTTCCTACCTCCATATTGTTTACTTGGTTAAGAACCTGATGTGTGAGTATAACCTTGCTGTTTTTGGGATTATTTGGAATGTTGTGAAGACTGATAAGTATGGGGCAATGTTTACTGTTTGAAATGTTGATGGTTTTCCAAGTGACCTGAAGGTTTGCTTGGTTGATGAAGGACAAGTCGAATTGTTAGTTGAAAGGTATAAGCACCAGTATTTAGACAGTAAAAATTTCTTCATCTGCGTTTTGAGCAACAATATTCTCATAGGATCCGTTACTGAGTTACCCCATTCTGTTGATTTAACATTGAAATCTCCCATGATTATAGTTGTACCAATTAATTCATTTGCTGTTTCACAGATATTTTTCACCACCGTTTGGTATGCATCACGACGCTGGTTCGTCGTGTTGTAAGTTGAAAAAATGTTGAGGTTTTGTTGTAAATTGAGTGTTTTAACTCCTACTATTTCGAAATCAGGGTTGGTGTTTATGAGGCTGAATTTTATACCCCTTTTAATCAGCAGGCCCACACCACCGTAGCCATCCGCTCTGATCTTGCTGACAAAATTATAATGACAAAATTTAGTCACTTACTTGGTTAGCTTCCAATTTGTCCTGCAAACTGCTGCTAACTATGAACGCATGAAAGTTAATTATTTGACTTGTGATTTTTTCTTGAGGGTGTTTAAAATTCGTTGTTGACTGTTGGATAAAGCGCTGTTAGGAAGAGGTGGAAAAGCTACTTCCGGATTGTCTTCTAGTATATGAAAGTTGTTATTAAAGAGTTGTGGATACATCGGCTTTACTTCGCCCTGCGTTAGGTTTTCTATGATCATTACCTTTTTCATTTGGAATGCTTCTTTCCTGGCCGGGCAGCTGTTATCTAGAGGTGAGTGATATCCTTTGCAATTGGGGCATTGAGTTATTTCGGCACAGCTGGCGTTTTCCGCATGTGTTGTGAAGGACTTTTGCACAGTTCGGAATTGCAAAAAATGCGAATTGAACAATCAAATTCTTTTACTTTGGTTTATAGCCTAGACAGACGACAGCCTTAATTTACATTAACAGCCTTAATTCAAATTAACTTGTACATTATCCTCATTTGTATGTGTTGTTAAAGCACAAAATAAAACTAAATTTATACTGAATTAGGCAATTTCAATATGGCAATGCTGTCGAAAATTAATTGTTTCTTGTCAAATTTATTTATATTTATGAAAATAAAAATAAGAAATGAAGGCATATTTTAATCATTTTTTAAATTGGGAGCTGTTTTGCTAAGATCATAGTTGCAATTCCTCCTTTATGTCATGTATCTATTTCCTAAATATGTAATCTCGAAAAATATCGAAACAAATGTAAAAAATGTCCATCCTACACACAGACAAACAATTGTTTTGAAGCAACAAACTGTTTCGTAAATGCAGAAACTCTCGTCTGTCAGGGGTAAATATTAATTCAAATTAGGACGTTTTTAATGCAAATTAAGGCTGTTGTCTGTCTGTCTATGGTATTAGGTTAGGTTTGGGGATGTACAGTCACGTATGTGGCTGCAACACTCTGAGATTGTCAGGTCCATTGTGATCATCCAAGAAAAGAAGAGGATATGGAGTGATCTACGGCTAGAAAAGAAGGAAGGATATGGAGAGATGAAAAGCTTAAAATGAAGTGTGAGATGATAAGTATGGGATAATATCGATGGCTATAGAGGTCGGACAGAAGATATATTACTGTAGATTAGTAATTATGTAATTATGCTGTAGATTAGAGCAGGTTCCGTTGTTGAGAAGAAACTAAGACTCGGTAGAAAATGAGTACCCACTAGTCTGTGCCATCTGTAAGCCAGGACTGGGCAGTGACACAGGAGATGATCAATTGTATCCGTCTCCTCCACGTCAACGCAGAATCTTTAAGAGCCGCTTGACTATCCACTAAGTTAGTCACTGGTTACTCCGGTTCCAGTCGTCTCTACTAGGAATAACGACATCTACATCGTCAAATCTCAGGACTGGTGATATATAGTAGCTTAGTTATACACGTTGGTCCAATGTCATACCTGGTTTGTCATACCATGCCCAAAGGTACAACTTCGCCAAAGATTTTGTTCATGCAGCCTTAGGGCACTACTTAATGTTGAGGCTCAGAGGCCTTATGTTCAGCATTGCGTTCAGAGCTGCTTGTGGTGTGTACATCATGGCTTTTATTATTAAAATATAGGCGGCTATTTGTACCTTATCTAATTTGATGGATGTCGACTTGTTTCGCAGGCAGTTTCACCAAACAAGAGAACCATAGGAAAGGATGGGCTTACCACAGTGTTATACAACAAGTGAATAGTCCATGGTTTTAGCCCCCCAACTTTTCCCAATGGAATTCTTGCATTCATAGAGTTCAATCAGCCCTCTCTTCGCCCGTTCCTCAGCGTTCCTGTTCCATCGTAATTGACAGTCCAGGATTGTGCCAAGGTACTTTGCTTCGGGTGATAGATGAAGCTGCAATCCATCCAGTGTAGATGGAGCAACAACGCCGAACTTACGCTTCCTAGTGAACATTACCAGTTCCGTCTTTGTTGGATTTACACCAAGGCCGATCGCCTTGGCCCAACTTGACAGCGCCAGTAAGGCTCTTTGCATAAGCTCCGAGATTGTTGGCGGGAATTTTCCAGAAATCAATATCACCATGTCGTCCGCATAAGCTACGATGTTGATACCTTTTCCGTCCAGTTACATCAGTATGTTCTTAATTAGCAATAGCCCTCCTTGAGGGGCTAGCATTTTATCTATCCAACACGTAAGGGTTTCAGGAGTGCCAACTTTTTTGAGTGGTTTACGGATTCAAGTTTAACGTTGTTAATGGCTCCCTCTATATCTAGAAAGGCGGCCAGCGTAAATTTTGAATTTTTCATATTCCTCTCAATGTAACTTACCACTTCGTGCAGTGCAGATTCTACAGACTTGCTCTTTATGTATGCGTGTTGTGAATAGCTAAGAGAGGTGGCGTCCATACGACTTCTACTCTCCAGGTCGATCAGTTGGTGGCTTGTGATCTCACCAACGTTACTGGGTTATTAACTCATTTGGTTTTCCTTTTGGCAGAATATGTGAACGAGTTGTGTCATTTCGTTGGTATAAATTAGGTACAATATGGGACTCAGCTTTGATCAGTGCCAATGTTATTAGCAACCTTTATGTTAAATGATCTACATCTAAGATAGTCTTGGAACCATTTTATTGAATGTCCTCTTATCCCGGTTTTTCCAGAACGTTAATTTCATTTCTTAATTCATTTCAGTGTAACATAGATAAATCCAATATGGCCAATAACTTGCAGTGAGCAGCAAAAGTACCCCATACAAATCAAAAAATATTCAGTAATTACTCAAAAAATAATTTACACAATTTAAAACAATTATTTTTATTTTATGTGTTCACTTCTATACTACCACAATAGAAAGTAATATTTCATTTATTTGTTCCAACAAACCATAAAAAAGTCGAGATCGCGTCAACTCCAAATTTTTGCACAGCATAAGCATGGTACCCCTGGTCAGAGCTGATATTACACATCATTTATAGGATAAAATCTTTTAGTAAAATAGGTGGGAACTTTTTAGAGTTTTGTCAAATTCTCTTTTAAAACAATAACGGTACTTTACACATTTCCAAAAGCATTTGCTTAGTGGAACTAGTGAAAGCAAGTATTTTTTAAAATGTCTGGTGTTGGCAATTTGGTATTCATTGAGGAAATACTGAATAAAACAGTTTACATGAATATATTGAAACAAAGTTTGAATCAAATTGCTGAAAAACTCCACATTCGTGATAATTATTACTTCCAACAGGACAATGATCCAAAACACACTGCTATTGACGATAAGAATTGGATCGTATACAATACACCACACATGCTGATAACACCTGCACAAAGCCCCGATTTAAATCAGATTGGACTACACTAAAAAACTTGAATACTCAAAGCCCGAACGATTGAATGACGTACCAAATATTAGGGATATCGTACCAAATATTAGGTAAGTCAATTTAATTGTAAACATTAAGTAATATTAAATAATTCATTATTTTTCTCCAGGGGTACCAAGACTTATGCTGTGCAAAAATATGGACTTGGCACTATGTCGATTTTGTTTTAATAAAAAAATTAAATATTACTTCAATTTGTTGTAGTATAGGATTGAATACATGAAATAAAAATATATATTTGAAATTTTGTGAATTACTTTTTGAGGAATTACTGAATATTTTTTGATTTGTATGGGGTACAATGACTTTTGCTGCTCACTGTATACTAACTAAATACAGTAGCAAAAAACTTAGTTATTAACAATAAACTTAAATCTATATATATATATATATATATATAATTGGCAATGCTACAATCAGATATTCAATGATAATAACTAATAAAATAAGCCCTAATCAATAACAACAATAACAATAAAAACGCATATTCTAATATACAATCTTAATTCATGAAGAACGAAATTAAAACTTCACAACATTGAAAATCCTACAATTCAGAGAAAAAATAATTAGTTAAAAGAAAAAACTAACAAACTAGTATAAAAATTAGTAGAATAAACATATTAATATCATGGAGCCATCATAGAATAGGTAAAAAATAATTGAATACAATGATCCATGTCTACAATGAATCAATAAATAGCAATATTAATAGTGAAAGAAATTACATTTAATATCTCTATCAGCTGAGATGCTCGATGCAGTGTAACAGAAAAGATTAGCCAAGTGAAGCGGCTAATTATTCATTTTAATTACTATAGTATAAACACATTACTATAGTATAAACACATACTATAGTATAAACTGAATACTAAAATGCAACACTTATTTAAATATTTGAAATTGACGGTTACTTATGTAAATAGTCTGTAAATAGTTCCAAACCCTACATCTCTGATATTTCTACATTTTTATACAACCAATCCTAGATTAGAATCTCGCTTTTCAAATGTAGTACTTAAGCAAACCCAAATTTCAATAAAATCGCTTCACTCCGAGTCCGGACACCCCGACTCTAATTCGTTTAAGCGAACACTGAAGGCTTAAGATCATTACCCACGCTTGCCCAAGTTGATGGACTAGGTTATAAGCTGGAAGTAGTTCTTAAACAAGGAGTAGCCAACATTATTGTAAATCTTGTTGTTTCGAGTTTCTTCACTGTCGCCCAACGTGGACCGAGCTTTTACACAAGGAATTAAAATTACGCAGGTCCAGCGGCAGTAAATTCCATAACTTTAAAGCTCTCACAACAAATGATTTTTTCACCTATAGGCGATTTTTCACCAAAAGGCAGACCAAGGAAATTTTCAACAAACTATGAAACATGTTCGCTTCGATATAAGCAATGCACATAACGAACAATAGAACTAACAATACAGTACTTTTCGTTTACAGTCCATTACGATTAAAGGCCAAAAACGGAGGTAAGCGAAAAAAGTACTATTTATTGACATTTTTTCCAAATTCATATTTGTTCTTTAGTCCACTTCGCCTCGTTTAAAAGCCACATTTTCTATGCATGCAAAACGAACATTGCATAGAAAAAATGTTCATATAGTTTTTATATATTGTAAATGGTAGTATGGAGAAAAAATTTAAATTATTTAAAGACTATGAAGAAAATGGATTGAAATTTGGACAATTGAGCGTCAAATATAAAGGAGACAAATCGACAGTTTTAAAATAATAAAAATTAGTTCACAAATTAAAAAAGCTTCAAATTAGTGTAATCTAAATATATGGTTTAATAAAATGCGTGGCTAGAATGCGGCCCTTTCAGCATATCAGCATTGCAACGACGAATTGATTTGCTATGGAATGTTAAATGTTGCAGATATTTTGGACGATGTGGTTTCGGACAAATCTGTTAAAAAATGTCATAATAATATGATGAGGAATCCACTTTTGAAGTTTTTCTTTGCAAACAACACAAAGTTATTTTAAAAGAATTTGTAGATTACATTTTGTACAGATAACGAAATTTAACAAAACAATTTTTTCGAAAAAATAGAATCGTTTGTTGTAAATTCCATAAAAAAGAAGGGTACTAAGATTGCAGAATTATTTTAAGAATTGTGAACAAATAACCTTAATCCTCCAAAAGCATAAAATGAATGGCTTATACTCCACAAAAATTGTGCAACTATAGTTGTGGACTATAAGCGAAATCTACTATACTACGAGCACGTTGAATTTAGCAGGAAGGCTCACCTGAAACTACCTCCAAACAATACTTCATGACAACACCACTCTCTTCCTAAGTTCCAATTTATATTAGGCTAGTTTAATTGCGGCAAGTCTTTGTTTGAAGGAGAGAGGGGCAAGGGGAATATAACTTGAAAAAAATTGCTCGTACCGACAATTTTCTGGCAATTCGTTTTGTGAATTTTGTTTGTAGTGTCAGTAATTTAAAATACCAATCCAGAATATTGTCAAAAAAAAAAGTATTTTTGAAATCGAATTGCCTAGTATAGACGAATGAAGCAAGTTCAAAAGAGAACGATAAAAATTGCCGCAAGTAAACTCGCCTAATATAAATCAGGACTAACGTGTAATGGCATGTTCAATAATTACAAGGTAGGATTAATTGAAAATATATGTAATATTAATACAACTCTGTAGCTGTGGCCAAAAACTTCGAAAATGTTTTCGTGTCAAACTTCAACTTCTTGTTTTTTTTTTACAAATGACAAGAAAAACATCGCTGTTAGTGCTATATTTTCTGTTTCGCCAAGGAAGTAATAGTAATTGAAAATAATTGCAGGGGATTTGTTGGTGGCGTCGAAGACTGTAATATGAAGCTCGCAAATGAAACTAATTCGGTCATTTTGCCTATGCCTTACCAAAAAGATTGAACGTTATCGTTGGAGCAGCAACGGTCACACATCCAAGGACTGTACTCAACCCGACAAATCAACGTGTTTCAACTGCTGGCCATTGGAGGCGTAACAGAATTGTTTTATGCTACAAGTGCAACCACACTGGTCACATCTCCTAGAACTGCCCTGACATGGCAATGACATGCTTCGGCTGCTACGTCCGAGACGTGAGTGCGAGGAATAAAGTGAGCCAGGGACGTACGCAGGGGGGCGGCCCGGGGGGCCCTGGCCCCCCCCGAAATGAATTTTTTTCACAGTAAATTTATGTTTGCAACAGCGAATTTTTTAATTTTGTACTACCGGGCCCCCCCGAAATGAAATCCTGTGTACGTTGCTGAAGTGAGCTGTAACTTGAAATCGGTCGATCTCCTTCACTGTCGATTGATATATTTAATTTTTTTCGGCATCCCTGTCACCAAATTCAATGTAATGCAGCCAATCTTCTTCAAAGCATAATTGTCACAAATACTCTCGAAGGAAGTAACCGATTTCATCCCAACCTTGCACATCTTAATATTTCGTCCATAGTTCATGTACAAATGGGGAATATCGGTTCACTCCTTCTGGCAAAGTTTGATGAAATCGTTTATTCCCTTCGAGAACTATCGGGAGGACATTTGCAAATCGATCCCAAATTGTCTGAAAGGGATTTGGTCCAAAGTAACATGAGGTCTAAAACCAATATTTCGATGAGGAACATTATTGCCGATTTCTTTAATATTTTTCCCAGGGACCACATTTAGCCGATATCTTTCTTTAAATATGTATTTCAGGACCGACATGTAGTTGTAATTTTAGACGTGTTTTAGAAGAAACCCTGAATATTTTAAAAATATTTTTTTAGGGACTACACTTATGAGGGGAACGAAAAAAAAATATTTTTTAAGGAACTGCATATAGGAGTTGTTTAAAAACATATACATACTTTTAAAAAATATTCATTTTTTCTGTGAACTATTATAGGCGTAGACGTTTTAAATATTTTGGATTTTTATATCCTACACAACTATGCTGAAAAATTTTAAATATATCTCTATAAAGTATGTTCTTTTTATTTAATAGAATATATATATGGGCAATATTGCCAATTTTTTAATATTCCTTTTCAAAAAATCAGCTTTTTTGTTTTTGTGGCACATCAATGATTTTTGGGTACACATATAGAGAAAAGTGTTCTGACTCCGAAACCGTTCGCGATCAACTTTTTGGTTGATGCGCGCAAAAGTTATCGAGGTTTTAATTTTGGGCATAAGAAAAAATCTTAAAATTACGCCGTTTATTATATTGACCAAAAACGTTGATATATATCTTCCTCCGTAAAATAAGAATATGAATATATTATAATAATCACGATAAAGTTGCACATATTCGCGAAATATGAGAAAAAAAAATATAGCAGATTACATCAATATTTTCATTATATTAATGACATACACACACCTAAAAATTAATTTAAAAATATCTACATAATCTAAACACCATGATGAATCAAATTATATCAAAATCACACAAGTCCGTGTAGCGGTTTCTAAATCACAGCGACAACAAAACAAGATATTAAGGAAAAATATTTGTTTTTGGTTCGAAAAAATAATGTCATCATATTTATTTTTTTAATTGTATACAAGAAATTTCAGAAAAAAATGTTGGGGTTATTCTGCTATTTTACCCGAATTTCGCCGAAAAATTGACATATATAATAATAATCACTTTTTGTGTATAAGTATACGCCTTGCGGATTATATCAAGACCCTTCCGATAAATCTTAGAATTCTATAAATAGGAATAAATTTTAAAATAAAATAATATTATAACATATACATTTTAAATTGCGTCTAAATCGCGTAATTCTCAAAATCATTTGATGCGCATGCGGTTTCCAGGAAGTACTGAAGTTTATCTTCCAATCCATATATATTTTGCGAAATTTCATTTGACGGCTAAGATGTGCCGCACGTTACATTGAA